TCTCAAACAACAGAAGTTTAGGAAAACAATTGTAGCAAACTGTTATGGAGATAATGAGTGACATTAGAAGTGCTGCAGGGCACCTAGGTGCAGTATCTGGTCCCTTCACCAATGCATGATCTCTACTTGGCCTGTGCTGACACCTAACCAAGTAACTTACCTGAGAGTCTTTAGGCTTGCCATGGGTATCTGTGCCTTTCCTAGGCTTGGGCACTCTGTAGGGCGGAGGTGCTGCTGGCAGCATAAAGCTCTTGTGTCCATTCAGAGGAAAGGCAATGCCCCAAAAGCACATTAGAAAAGTAATTCATACTGCCCTCATGTTTGGAGTATTGCCAGAAGATGAGCTTGGTAAAACACGATGTTGTTTTTTCCCCATACAACAAATGTTCCTTAGTGAAGGCAGGCATTGCTCAGCTGTGATTTTGCCTGTTGGACTGGATGAGGTGCTTCCTCCTCTCCCATTCCCCTGGCGTGGTCCAGGCGTGCTACCGAGTGAAAATATGCCTGATAGAATGTAGAATTGCCTTCTAAACTATTTAAGGACTGGCAGTCCTTGCAAAGAAGTCATATACAGAGAGATTGCTGCTTGCCATGAATATTGCTTGAAGTGCCCCATGAACATGCAGTTGCCAGAATCCCTTCTCAGCCTATATGTTGGTAGGAGCAGCTTTCAGACTGAATCCTCTTTGCCACTATCAGCTGTTACAGCTCTTATCTCTTTCCAAGAGTAATAGCAACCTTTTCCATCCACGGTGATAGACACCATCTCTGCATGGTAACATCCAGTACAAGCCTTTGCAGCAGCACTCAGAACTGCTTTGGCTAACTTTGAGATGTTTTTTTTTTTTTTTTTTATGAGTGTTAGACCATGAGAGAAGAAATGGACTCGTCCATTTGAGAGTGAGCATGGTAACCATGGAGCATCTCTGCTTTAACGTTGTCCCTTTCAGTATCTTAACACTTCCCATGTTTCCCTTAGTGGCTGGAGCCAGGTCTCAAGGATTCCTTTGCATGCAGTTTCTGCACTTGATGGACTAGAAACTGTTGGCAAGCTGAACAGTTCAATTCAGAAATGCTTTTTCAGTGGGATTCTCTTCATGAAGGGGAAGGTTGCTGTATGGTGCTTTTATTTTTCTTGCTGCCCAAGTGATTAGCTCGCTCATGTGGCATGTGAAGAAACCTGATTTCCATTCTCTTCTTTGGTGAAACAAACTAAACCCTGTATGTCCCATCTTTCAGGAGATGTGTGTTAATTAAAAACCTCTCATAGCTGCCAAGTCTGCACATGATTTGCTGTAAATTCATATGCTGCTTTCTAGGCTGTGTTGACTGCTGACTTGTTTACTTATTTTTGTCAGGTAGAACTCCCAAATGAGATATTTTAAAGCCTTTATACGGCAGAAACAGCAGGCACAAGAGGCTGCGTTGACAGTAAGGAATTCTGGACTGACTGATAGGATTACACATCTTGGCAAATAATGGGTAAACCAGGTCACTTGCCCCAGCTAGGTATGTTTGGGTGAAGAGCTGATGTTCTGCAAACTGTACCTCCACCATGTCTCAACTGTGATGCTCTAGTTATTCTTCACTGTGCCCGTACACTGTCATGCACAGCAAAATCTAGAGATGTCTTTCATGTTGTGTGTGAGGCACTACGGAGTGCATTAAATTAAATGTAAATAAAAACTAGGAGTCAAATTGAGTTGAACTAATGAGTGGCATGCAATGGTCTTTCTCCTGTGCAGTATTTTGAGATTTTTTTTTTTCCTCCGTCAAAGTCAAGACTGTTTTTTACCCATTCATAATAGATGAATCAAAAGGATCTCACCGGCCTCAATCTGCAAGGCAACAGAGCCTGGGAACAGGGAGGCAGCAGAACCGCACAGGATAATCTTAACAAGTCTGTTTGGACTGAAGTTTGGGCTGAAAGTATTTTTCTCTCTGCTGGAAAAGGCGAACTCAGTATGAGGTATTCACATCATCTACTTCACACATCTGAAATAAAACTCAGGAGCAAAGGCGGGAGCCTATGTCACCTGTAGAGCCACTGTTAAGAAGCAAGACTGCCTGGGAGGGACAGGGATGTTCAGTCTACCAAAGAATAGTGTATCAAGTAGAAAGTGTAAACGTGCTGTGTCTGCACACTGTAGAAAACTATTTCCTATTGACCTGAATAGTGTGTGTGTGCATGATATGCAGAAAATACCACCTGCCCAGTCAACGAGGAAAGCAGAGCACAGCCAACAGTTTTACAAAAAACACAGGGGAGCTTTACATCAGTGTGCATAGAATTGGTGTATAAAGTTGTTTCTCAGTCTGAGGTGAATGTCCTAAGAGCTTTCTGAAAAGGTTTCACAACGAAAGTGGTCTAATGTAGCCACTTCCCAGCAATTTGATGCCTTAAATGAAGGGGAGTGGAGACAGCCTGGTAGTAAAACTTCTTTATTTACAGTGTTATGTATTACAGGAAAATCAGTTTAAAAAGTCAACACTTCTCTTTCTTCAAAGTTGCAGCATTTTAAAGATGTTAAGACAGATCTGAAGAATTTAAAACACACCTGATTCCAGCCTTCCTGGCCAGTCTGGATCTGCAAGGTGAGACCATCTTGTTCTGCCCCCCAGCCTGCCCCAGCCCTTTGAGGTTCAAGTAAGGCATTTATTTATTTCTTTTTCTTTTGAAAGAGGTTTCAACAAAACAAAAGACAATATCTGTGGGTTTGATTGCCATAGTAAACTTAGCATGCTGATGTTGTCCACCTTGATAGTCAAATGCATGCTTTGCCATCAAAAGGTTATGGTCTCCACTCAGCCTAAAATCCATGCAACCACGACCATTTTGTTGCCTGCCTTAGATGAATGGTTCAGCTAGTTGCCTTGTGTGCTGTCTTGTCAAAAAGTGTTTGAATATTGCAGTTATTTTGGTTACCTAGTGCATGATGATGCAGTTTAGCAGCCAGGTTGCTCAAATGCACTGCCTGTGCTGTAGCATTGTGGGGATTTCAGTTTTCTGCTGGAGCAAAAAGGTTTTATCGACATTGTAACAGAGCAGGAACTGGCTGGAAACAGATGGGATCCAATGGGACTTTCAAGCACAAATTTAAACTGAACTCTGACCTGAGACCCCCTTCTCTCTGCCACTTTCTCCTCTTGTTTTTGCTGGACAAAACGGTCTGTTCTTCCCCTAACCTGTACCACTTCCTCAGCCCCTTCCCTTTCTATCCATGAGCGCTCGTGGTGCAGTCTCTCAGGCTGCTCCCAGCTAGGCTGGCTGCCCTGCGCCCGCACCGCTCCCTGGGACAAACCTTCCTGCCGTTGCACCTGCAGCCTCCAAGACCCCCTGATGACAGATCATGTAGAGGGGGGTAACTGGCCCGGGAGGTGGAGAAGACCTGGAGGAGCAGGGTTTGGGGCAGCCTCCTCTCCATGTGGGGCCTCTGCGGCTGCTTGGTCCCTCTGTGCTGGCTGCGCATGTGGTTTGTCCCCTTCATGCCCTGGGATCCCATGGGGTGATGATGGGAGGGAGAGGACATGGTCCCTTTACAGAACTGCTTTGGCCCGGGTGCTTGCTGGGCTGGGAAGTCTTCAAAAGGGTTTTTGTTCAGAGAATTTATACACATGAGCTTGGAAGAGGCCAGAACTACTTCGATGTGAAAAAGGGATAGGAAAAAGGCTGCGTCTACTTTTAGTAGAGATTTTGAAGGCTGAATGAGAAAAGGGCGAGGGCAGATCTCCAAAGCTAACCTTGGGCATTCTTAATTTCTAACCACTTAAGTGGGAGGTAAATGCAGCTAACTGAAGCACAGAAGATGGTGACTGGCTATTGAGAGACATGCTGTTACAGCTGCGGACAGCAAATATCTCCTTGTTTTCCCTAC